CTCTCCCCTATCTGTAGTGATAAACCAGAAGATGAAACAAGGCCAACAATGATCCTGGTGGCTTGGATGATGGTACAGATGACGGCAGTACTTGTGATGACAGTGGGTGGTGGGAGTAACTGATTGTGATTGTGACAAAAAGGCTGTTGATGATGATGGTGATGACAATGGCAGAGAGGTAGTGGTGACAATAGTGATGAGGATGATGACAGAGACGGTAGTGATGATGGTAATGGTGACAGTGATGAGGACGGTGGTGGTGGTGGCAAGGATGGTAGTGATGCTGATGGTGATTATGATAATGATGATGATGGTGGTGGTGGAGGGAGAGAGATATGGTCCCAGCACTCTGATACAATCTGCAAAGGGTAGCATGGGGAACACTCGTGGTACAATAACAGTATGAGTTCTTCTGAATTGCCTTCCCTGGACATTTTGGGTCCATGAGGGCCTGCTCCCTCTCCTACACAACTGGACTCTTTCTCCTAATGTATCCAGTTTTGACTTTGTTCCCATTCTTCTTACTAATTATAAACTCCTTGTGGTGGCGTGCAGTTCCCTTGTCCCTAACTTGGTGTAACTTCTGTTACACCAAGGATCTTTGAGTCTGCTCTTCACCCTCGAACATTCTTTTCATGTCCATCCCATAAAATTAGACAGGTTATGATACAAAACACAGAAAGAGAAAGTTACAGTGCAATGGGACTTCACAGGACTCTTCAGAGCTAAGGAGCCTCACAATGACTAAGTAGTGTGTCATCTACGACTTACTGTGTGACCTTGGGGCCAGCCACTTGCCCTCTCTGTGTCTCAGTCTCCCGTGGTGGGATCATAATATCTACCGCCCAGCAGAGCTGGGAGCATTGAATGAATGATTATCTCGAACGCCCTCTGAGCTTCTGGGACAAAGGTGCTATGTAAATGCTCAGTACCCTTCTTCGTCTTCTTCTCATTAGTATTATTCAAACCCAGATGGCATTATTATTGTTGTTGATTGACAGCCCTGCATAGCCCCATTCACGGGTGTCAGAGAGCCAGGCGGTAGTTAACACAAGCAAAAACCATGTTTAAAACAAAGCCCAAGGAACACTCCAATAGTCTGTGCCTTGGGTTGCTATTAAAGCCACAGCAGCTGCGGTGGCAACACGGAGGGACAGGGCAAAGGAAACGCATCCCAGAGCACAAAGAGGGGAAAGTGGGTCTTGACACTGATCATATAATCGTGCTGGGCTTTTACAGACGCTGGGAGGCCTCAAACAGAATAAATGCTTGAACTTGATCCACGGTTTACAGGCAGCGGCTGTGCAGGTCTTTGTTGCTGTTGATGCCATGTTAATGACCCAGCTTGGGGCTCTGCCGCCACCGCCGGCCGCTTCTTCCAAAGAAAACAAATCAAAATGAGGAACTCCATGTCCAGCAATGAGTTTTCCATTATATAAAAATAAATATAACTCTTGGAGTTGGGCAGCCGCCCCGCCATAGTGGAGGCCAGTGAAGGCATCAAGGTGGCTGTAACACTTTGATCCCCCGCTAACCAGTTCATCCAAGGAGGGGCCTTGTCTCTTTTAATTGCAAATAAACAGAGAGAAATCTATGGCGGGGCTTTCCAGCTCTGAGGATGGTGTCTATTCTGAGAGAGCCTAGGGGCAGCAGCTGCAGAGGGAGGATAGGAGGCATTGACTGGCTTCTTTGCCCCATCCCCTGTCTACACGAGTGAGACTCTCCTCAGGGCACATGCTGGCCCTGCAGAAGCACCAGTACGTGCTACTGGAGGCCTTGATTTCTATGGCTGCACAGAGGGCATGCGATCCATAGCCTGCAGTTTTCTCTGTATATGTGTTGTTGACACGGGGCTCTCATGTGGCCCAGGCTGATCTCGCATGCTGCGTAGCCAAAGACAACCTCGAACTCCTGACCTTTCCTGTTTCCTTCTTCCAAAGGCTGGGGTTACAGCTGGTGCTGGGGTTAGAAACCAGGGATTCATGCGAAGCAAGCACTCTCCCGCCTAACCCCTGCCCAAGGTTAACAACACTGATGGCTTGTTAAGTATCTGGCCACCCTCAAAATATGTGAGCATCCTTGGTGACACTGGAAAATTGAAAGGTGGCTGCAGTGCACTCTCGCTGGGAAGTGTGACAAGTGTGTAAATAGCATCTAACTCTAGGACACAGGCAGATGTACACGGGCAGCTGAGTGCCTCTATAAAATATGGTGAGGCAGAAGGAGGGAAGGAAGTGGGGATGGTGGGGCAAGAAAGAAATCTTGGTACCAGGATCCTGCTAGGGAGGGCTTAGGGGGGCAGTAGGGGGAGTAAAAGAAAGTGAGACCTCAGAGGTCCAGGAAGCTGGGCAAATGGAGGCCAGGCGGGCAAACATGTCCTTAGAGATCTGGCTGTGGTGTCTTTGACCCTTCCTCCCTATTCCCCATTTCCTTTAGATACAACATCAAGAGCCATGAAGGAGAAGCCACTGGTCTTAGACAAAGCGAACATTTTATTTGATCCCAATACTTTGCAACGTTGCTTTCTCCTCATCTCTCTGTTTCATCATGCTTTTCATTTGTATCCAACTCTTCTCCCTCACTGGACCCTTCCTGGTGGCCTTTTGATTGGCATCAGGAAGGCACCCACATACCCATCTATACACCCACCCATCAGTCCATCCATCCATTTTTCCACCAATCCTACTATCCACTTACCCATCCACCCACCCATCCACTCACCCATTCATCCATCCACCCATCCATCCATCCATCCACTCATCCATACATCCACCCATCCATCCACTCATCCATCCATCCATCCATCCACCCACTCATCCATCCATCCACTCATCCACCCACTCATTCATCCATCCATCCATCTATCCATCCATCCATCCATCCATCCATCCAGCCAGCCAGCCAGCCAGCCATCCATCCACTCATCTATCCATCCACCCATCCATCTATTCATCCTTCCAATCAAACACCATGGATTCCCCTTCCACAGCTTCCTTCCACAAGCTGTGTAAGGTATACCAAATGCTAATTAGCAGGGTCTCTCTTCCAAAGCTGCTTTCTTTCTTGGGTTGGGAATGTCACCATGATATTCACAGAGTGTCAATACAGAAGCAAGCCCAAGTAATTCTGGGCAGATTCAGTGGGAGAAGGGGTGAGGTGAAAGGTGCAGGCTGGGACAAAAAGCAAGCTTGGCAGTCAGTCAGTCACTGGGAATGTAAACAAAGAGGGTAGTCTAAAGTAAGGGGTACAGGGGGTGAGAGGCAAGTGGAATGCTGGTATAATGGTCTAAACACGGTAGCAGTGGCTTTGGGGCAGAGGTGGTAGAAGCTGGAAGGACCTGGAAGGAAGCATTAGTGAAAATACACAAGGCATTAAAACTGTCATGGTGACAAAATACTCAACTGAGGCAACTGAAGGGAGGAAGGCTTGACTTGGCTCACAGTTTCAGACAACAATGTTTGTCATGTCATGGAAGAATGGAGGCAGGGTCAGCTCCATCCACAGCGCTGGGCATTTCAACACAGCAAGCTCACATCTCAGGGGTTGACGTGAGTACTCGAGGGCAGAAGCTAAACAAGGAGATAACGCTCAAAGACCCACCTCCAGGGGTCAACCTCCACCGGACTTGTCCTACAACATCCCCCAACACAACACCACCAGCTGGGAACCAGGTTTTTAACACATGAGCCCATGGGGACACATTTCACCCCCAACTGGAGCAGACAGACTCACAGCAACTGTTGGCAGATACCCTACATCTTTTTTTTTTTTTTTTCGAGACAGGGTTTCTCTGTGGCTTTGGAGCCTGTCCTGGAACTAGCTCTGTAGACCAGGCTGGTCTCGAACTCACAGAGATTTGCCTGCCTCTGCCTCCCGAGTGCTGGGATTAAAGGCGTGTCCTACATCTTAAGAAGACTGTCTGTCAGGCACTGAAGAAACACACGAAAAGATGCTTCTGGAAACTGGAAAGAGGAAGATCTGTAATGAAGCAGCAGAAAGTTTGGCAGCACACTTTCCTACAGTCACATGGGAAGTAGAAGCCACTTCCAACAGACAGGGTAATATATGTAAGGAGATCTCCAGGAAGGGCTACAGGGAATTCTGGTGCTTCTTGCTAGTCAGGGGGCTAGTTCAAACTAGAGACTATAAAAACAAAGGAAGCAGGTTTTCAGAGTTTGAAAACTTCCTGTTTTTCCAGATAGAAATCACATGGATGAACAAGGCTCTGAGAAATATTAAACTTGGAGAATAATGAGAACCTTGTCCAAAGATGAACTGAAGGTTATGACCATAGCGTCCTTTGTTAAGACCTGGGAAGGAGCCAAGGGAAACCCTGGAGAATTGTTCATTCAAAATAAAAAGGAGAACAAGATGACATGATTTTTTTTTAATTGTTGGTTTGTTTTCTTGAGACAGGATCTCCCTGTGTTGTCCTGACTGTCCTGAAACTCACTCTGTAGTCCAGGCTGGATTTGAACTCAGAGAGCAGCCTACCTCTTCCTCCCAAGTGCTGGGATTAAAGGGGTGTGCCACTACCACCTAGCAATGACAGGACTTTTAAGAATCCTGAGAAGCAGCTGGAGCTAGAGAGATGGCTCAATGATTAAGACACCAGCTGTTCCTGTGGAGGACCTGGGGTCAATACCTAGTACCCACGTAGAGGCTTACAGCAGTTTGTTACTCTAGTTCTAATAGATTTGATGCTCTCTTCTGGCCTCCAAGGATACTAGGCACATAAGTGGTACAGATGTACAATAAGACACTCATACACATTATATATATAATATATATATGTGTGTGTAATATGTAAATATTTTAAATACATATATATTAATCCTGAGCAGGAGGAGCCAAAAGTCCAGAGTGGTTTACAGGGAGAGAGGCATTGGTGTGACCTTTTTCTCATTGTATGAACCAAAGAATGTACAAGTTTTTGTTTATTTATTGTCTTTTCTATCACAAAGTATATGCTAAAAACATCTCCTAATTTGTGACTGGCATATGGGAAGAGGAAGAAATGGGGAAGAGTGCGAATGTTCTAGACACTTTCTAGTGATAGTTAAATGAATAGGTTTGCTTTTAGTGAGTGGTTTGTTTACAGAGCAGTGCCGCTGGGTGGCTTAGTGGTTTGGTAGCACCGATGAGACCGCTAATGGCTATGTCATAGATGCCTGTCCCCAGAAGGCCTCCTGCATCTGGGGTCACTGCTCTCTCCCAAGGCTTAGGATCATCCCTGAGAGAGCCCAAGACTAGAACCCAGCTTCCCACTGTCAGGCAAATCCCACCCTGAATGCCAGGGAGCAGGTTATGAAAGAGATAACTCAGGAGGGCTGAAAACAAGGTTTTGCCAAAATATTTGCTCATCTATTCTTTTTCTAGTCTCCCCAAGAAAGCCTCAGAATCCAGACCTAAGAATTACCAGAGATGTGCACATCCCAAACTGTTCACGATGTATACAAAAACAGTACAAGGTCCTGTCTGCAGATGTGCTTTAAGAGGGAGAGACTGCATCTTCTTTTTCTAGGAGGACACAGCCCTGTGATGGAGCTTGGGGAAGTAGCATAACAGTGGTCTTACAGTCGCTTTGGGTGTCATCTCCAAGGTCAGTCCTATTGTTCCGGAGGCCATCATTCCATCAGTTGAATCTCATGTTTTAGAGGAGACGGAAATATTGTCACCCACCACTCTGTGAAGCGCAGGTTCTCCTGGATACTGAGAAGATGCAAGGACACACTCAGCTCTTTAAGCAATCAACACACTATTTACTGCCTAATGACAGTGACCAGAGGCCCAGCAAAGGAAGTACAGACTATTGCAGTTTGAGACTAAAATGATTCCTTCACATTTTGAGCACTGTTTCCCTGGCTGGTGAGGATGTTTTGGGAGTCTGGGGAAGTGAGGAGGTGAGAGCTAGCTGCTGGAACTAAGGCGCTGGGAGCCTATCTTTGAGGGTCTGCTCTCTCAGCCAATTCCTGTGACCCAGGCTGACTATCTTCTGGTTTCCTGGTTCACTGTGCTCTGAGGAGCCTCTACCATGCCTTCCTGTCCCTGTAAACTGAGCTGCCCCACACAATGGACCAATATCCTCTGAAACTGCAAGCTCAAACAAACCTTTTCCTTTTCAAGTTGTTCTTATCGGGTGATTGTGGTGACACCAAAGTAAACGATAGAACAAGAAGCATGCCCAGGGTAGTGGCATCACCCAGTGAGAGCAAGAAGAATGCCCAGGTAGTGGTATCACCCAGTGAGAGGGCAGGCAGGAAGGGTTAGGTGGAAAGCCACAGGATGCCACAGAAAACAATGGTCACAGAAGAGGACAAGGATAAATTGTCCTCAGATCCACATAGACATGGGAAGGGAGACACAGGTATACAGACAGGCACCAGAAGGAGGCTGTAGTTTGAGGTTTCTGCTTCTTTATATAATTACTTGTTTGTATTAGTTTCTCTCCCCAGAAGACATACACATTCAAGATGAAATTAAGATGTTTTTAGAACAACAATCCTACTTAGTTGTCTTTGGTCTTCACCATGACCATGCTACTGAGCTGGAGGAACAGAAGGCTCAGGTCACTCTCTGAGGATGAAAATCCTGTCTGTCCCAGGCCACTGTGGCACCGTTTGCTTCTTTTGTTTTTGAAGAAAAAGTAGCCTGAAGGATTCCAGAAAAGTTGGACAACTGGGAACACATTGCTGCTTACACAACACACCACCGGCTACCATTTTCCTCAACAGCCGACCTTCTCTTTGTCAAACATAGACTAAAAAGTAGCTCTCCCCTTCCTGAGATCAAAATCTAGTCTATGGATAGACACACCTGGGATTTTATTAGAATAAAAGCTACTAAGCGCACTGAAATTTGAAGCAACTGAGTCTTTTTTTTCATCATATTTCTAACTTTTAGCAAGAGAAGAGCGCTGGTGCCGACACCCCATCTGCTCGTCTATGGCGCGTGGAGCACCGTGAGACAGAGGAGGGAAATGCGACTCTTGTGGCTCTTGCTCCTTCTCAGTTACAAACACCGCAATTCTACAAAGGGTGTCTTGGGATATCTCACCTGGTGTTGCTGGTAGTTTACTGTCCAGATGGTGAGAGAAGCTTCACGTGGGGAAAACCGTGTCCACGGCGGTATCCTCATTTCTAAGAGCAATGGGTACGTACAGCACGTTAGCAAAAATATAAATAACGACTGTTACCGTGGAGACAACAACATGGCAATAAAGCATGTGTTCTCTCTATTTCCCATGTATGTCTGTATATTCATTCATTCATTCATTCACGCAGTACGTGTACACTGAGTGCCTAGCTTGCACTAGGTCCCTTACTGACCTCCAGTTATGTGGATAGAGATTGAATGGAAGTTGGCTTCAGGAATCTCTCAGCCCAGTTGGGGAGAAATCAAAAACTGAAACTTAAAGCTTGATGACACAAGCAATAGAAAAAATTAACAGAGCAGACTAGGAGAAGTGCTGTATGGCAGTATTTAATAGTACTCTCTTGCCCTCAGAAGAAGTAAACAAGCTTATACGAAGAAGCTTCCTGGCTGCAATGACTTTTGATGAAGGGCTTAAAGATAAAATATACAGTAGGAGAGCTGTCTGGTGAGGACACAGCACGGGTAAATGGAGTCATCCCTGAGGATCCCTCTATGGGGTAGCTGCTAGGAGTGTCTATAGATACCAAGACCTGTGGGGTGCTTAAATTCCTCTGTAAAACAGTGTAGTGTTTTTATAGCCCCCTAAATACATGAAATCATCCCTAGATTGTGCATGGTACAATGTGAATACTGTTGGAAATAATTGTTGTTTGCTTTGTTCTAGGTATCAAGACAAGAAAATATGTAGGGGCTGGAGCTATGGCTCGGAGGTTAATAGTACTTGTCGCTCTTGCAGGGAATCTTGGTTCAACTCCAAGCACTCACTTGGCAGTTCACAATCATCTCTAACTCTAGTTCCAGGGGGTTCAACACCCTCTTCTGACCTCTGTGGGCACTGGCACACATGTGGTGCACAGACATACATTCAGGCAAAGCACTCATACACATAAAAAATTAAAGAAAAATTAAAAATAAAAAGTACATGTACATGTTCAGCACAAGCACAGTTCAGAAATATATTCTCAAGCTGCTGGTAGAAGGGGACCCACGAGAGAGAAAGAGACAGAGAGAGAGAGACAGAGAGACAGAGAGAGACAGATAGAGAGAGACAGAGAGACAGACAGACAGAGAGACAGAGAGAGAGAATATCAAGTGCCAAGCACTGATAAGGCCTCTGCTGGAATTGTACCAATGACCACTGGACAAAGGAAGTCTTGCAGACAAGAGCAGATTAAATGAGGGAGTGATGGAGGAAGGTCATTGGCTAATAAAGAAACTGGCTTGGCCCATTTTATTGGTTAGAACATAGGTGGGAGGAGTAAACAGAATAGGATGCTGGGCGGAAGAGGAAGTGAGGTCAGACTCTGCTCTGCTCCCGGAGAGACCCAACAGCTCTGCTCTCTGGAGCAGAGACCAGGATGGACGGAGGCTAGAATCTTCCCGGTAAGCGTACCTTGGGGTGCTTACACACATTACTAGAAATGGGCTAGTCCAGGTGCGAGAGTTAGCCGAGAAGAGGCTAGATAGAAATGGGTCAAGCAGTCTTTAAGTAAATACAGTTTGTGTGTTGTTATTTTGGGCATAAGCTAGCAGGCGGCTGGGGTGCTGGGGACGCAGCCCTGCCACTCCTATTTCAACAAGGGAGACACTATTTTATTGATGAGAAGCATATGACAGTCACATGTCAAAGGAAGCACATGTAGGGATTGGGATGAATCTGTGTGGCAAACCACACGAGGGTCAGGAAGATGGTGTGGGATAATGGTCTATATTCTGTCAATTATATTTTAAATAAACGCTGACTGGCCAGTAGCAGCAGGAAGTATAGGTGGAACAACCAGACAGGAAGTAGAGGCAGGTCAATGAGAACAGGAGAATTCTGGGAAGGAGGAAGCCCATTGCTCTTCAGTCCCACACAGACACAGAAGAAGCAAGATATGACTGCCTCACTGAAAAAGGTACCAAGCCATATGGCTAACATATACTAGAATAATGGGCTAATATAAGTTATAAGAGTTAATAAGAAGCCTGAGCTAATGGGTCAATCGTTTATAGTTAATGTAGACCTCTGTGTGATTTCTTTGGGACTTAATGACTGCAGGAACCAGGCAGGACAGAAAACCTCAGTCAACATGAAGAGTGCCTGCTAATGATTGAGACAGGGATCATCTAACCCAGTGAGCAAGACCCAACCATGCATCTGACCAGAACTGCCTACTGGGGAAGCATGAAGTCAAAGGCTTAAGATCAAGGGTGAGAAAAAAATTCCAATGTTGGGCAGTAACATTAATATTTGACAAAATGTAATTTAGCTAAAAGGACAGAGAAAAAGTGAAATGCCAGGTAATAAAAAAGAGATCCTTCAAGTTCACGAAGCAATCATGATATTGCGTGTGCCTAACAACATACTTTTAATGATATTAAAAAATGGATAATTTTATACAAAATATACTGGCACTTCTCTATCAGAAAATCCAAACTAAACAATCTATAATATTTGAAGAAAGTATTCATAACTTTATTCATTAGACTCATAAAAACTCCTGCATGCAACATATAAAGATTATAGAATTTTTGGCTGGGTGGTGGTGGCGTACACCTTTAATCCCAGCACTTGGGGTTAGTGAAGATCTTTTTCTATTCTGTAGGCTGTTGTTTTGTCTTGTTGACGGTGTCCTTTGCTTTACAGAAGCTTTTAAATTTCAGGAGGTCCCATTTATTAATTGTTTCTCTCAGTGTCTGTGCTGCTGGGGTTATATTTAGGAAGTGGTCTCCTGGGCCAATGCATTCAAGTGTACTTCCCACTTTCTCTTCTATAAGGTTCTATGTGGTTGGCTTTATGTTGAGGTCTTTGATCCATCTGGACTTGAGTTTTGTGCATGGTGATAGATTTGGGTCTATTTTCATTCTTGTACATGTTGATATCCAGTTATGCCAGCACCATTTGTTAAATATGCTTTTTTTCCCATTTGATTTTTTTTGTGTCTTTGTCAAAAATCAGGTGTTCGAAGAAGTGTGGATTAATATCCGGGTTTTTGATTCAGTTCCATTGGTCCTTCTGTCTGTTCTTATGCCAATACCAGGCTGTTTTCAGTACTATAGCTCTGTAGTAGAGTTTAAAGTCAAGGATGGTGATGCCTCCAGAAGTTCCTTTATTGTACAGGATTGTTTTGGCTATCCTGGGTTTTTTGCTTTTCCATATGAAGTTGAGTATTGTTCTTTCAAGGTCTATGAAGTATTTTGCTGGGATTTTGATGGGCATTGCATTGAATCTGTAGACTGCTTTTGGCAGAGGCAGATGGATCTCTATAAGTTTAAGACCATCCTGGGCTATACAAGATTGATTGAGTCTAAAAGAGAAACAAATCTAGGCAGTAATGACTCACATCTTTGATCCCAGTACTTGGGAGTCACGTGCCTTTAATCCAAACATTAGGAAGGTGGAGACAGGAAGGAATAAATCTGGATGGAGAGAGGAATATAAAGTAGGAGAAGACAGAAGTGCATTGCAATCAATCTGAAGATTCGAGGACACAGGATCTTGCCCCCTTCAAGTCTGAGGATTTGGTAGAGGTAAAATGTCTATCTAATGGATGGTTCCTTTACTTCTCTTATGTTTCAGCATTTACCCTGATATCTGACTCTGGATTTTTATTAAGACCAATTAGAATTCAACATACAACGGACTTCACAAACTTAATCCTAGACCAACAACAAAATTAACAGTTTATGTCATCTCCAAAAAGAACAATTACAAATATAGAGTAAAATGTCTTAATTATAAAAATGCACAAAATGTCTATATAAACACACGATGGCATATGAAAAATATCTGATATGTTAATTAGAATGGTTTACATGTAAATTAAATTCAACAAGAAATGTCTTAAAAGAACATTTTTAGGTCTAGAAATAGAGCATTTTCTTGGCATTCATGAGGTCCTGAGTTCCATCTCAATCAATGCAAGACTTATTAATCAATCAATCACTAATATACTCACAGCCTGATGCCTCCGAAGCCACCAAGCCTGATGACTTGAGTTCAAGTTCCGGAAGCCACATGGTGAAAGCAGAGAATTGGTTGCCCAAGTTGTCCCCTAGTCTCTAAATACATGCACATGCATGCACACAAGCAAATATGTAAAGGTAAACACCTTTGTTTACACAGCAGGAAGTTTAACTTGGGTGGGCCCAAGGTTGGTCTATTTGGCAACTCAAACCTTCAGGCTGTCTCCAGTGTTCTCCTCAATCTCTCCAGCATGGTTTTCATCCCCAGGTCTCCTCCCAGTAGGTAGGACTTCATGTAGAGCTATCTTCACAGGGATCTGTCATATTCATGCAGTTTTACAGGAAACATTTTATTCAAGTGGATGCATCCCTAGGCAGTTTGCCTGAACTATATAAAGTAGCTAAATGTAAATCTAGGAGCAACCAGGAAGTAGACTTTCTCCATATTTACTGTTTCCAGCTCGTGCCTTAAGCCTCGGCTTCCCTTGAAGGTGGGCTGAAACCTGTGAAGAGGAAACAAACCCCCTTCCTCCCTGAGTTGCTTCTGGTCCGTGTTTAATTATAGCAGCAGAAAGCTAACTGGGAGAATTTCTCAAAGAGGCACAATAACCAAATTTATGACTTATTTGATCAGAATAAAATATTTCATGCACTTTTTCCAAACTTCAAAATAATGTGTTCGCCCAAAGACTGAGTTCTAGAACAGCCAAGGGATCCCTGCCCAAGAAGAAATGCCTTCAGGAAGCAGCCACTTCACTTATTCTCTTCAGTGATGGCTACCACTGCCTCATTTCCTCCCAGGATTTGGTAATGGGCACTAATCTCTTGTCCCCAGCTCCCATGCAACTGGGTTAAGAGTCACTGTGGGAGGGATGGAGAAGTCAGGAAGAATTTAAAACAGAAGGCTTGGCAGGACCAGATCTGCCTTTTATACAGATTGTTGGACCACAAGAGGATAGGATACAAAAGCAAAATAACAGATAATCCTGCCCTCGAGGGCTTAAGAACCTACCTGAATGGATTCTGAATACACCCA